AACACCCGGTAACTGGGTGCCTCGTGGGCCCAGGCTAGACCAGCAGGGGATCTCGGAGTAGCAGTGGGCCCCAGAGGGACGGCGCATAGGCCTACTGGCATGTGGACACGTCCTGGCGCCGACCAGCCATTGCCCCACTGCCTTGCGGATTAACCTTGGTAGGTATAAAGGAGTAAACCCCGAACGAAAAATCTGCGGTGGAGCCACGCATCAGGCAGACATGCTTACAGAGCTCCAACAAGACCCCAACGGCGGTATAGGCGGAAGAGGTAACCACCGTGTGAGCCCAACGACTACACCGGCGGACGAAGGCAATGCCTGATGGACAGGCTACTAAGGCGAAACCCAACAAACTGGGCTATAGGCAGTCCATTGCAACTATCCCTCTTCCCAGTTATTGCAACACTTGCACCACTGGAACAGGAAAAGGGAGAACCAAGATGTGTGGTTGCAGCCTGCGCTCCTGCCTCACCACATAAATCAACTCACTGGCAGCCATCACCCAGCTCATCATACCTCTCATCATCATCAAAACCCCTATACCCCCCAAAAGCCCTATGGCGACGGGGACAGGCAGAGATGACTGCCGGGAGTCTCTAATCACAACTCTGTACATGGGCGGCACAGATAAGGTGGTCGTTTATGCACTGGGAACTAGGCAGCAGTGCAATCCGGTCCTGTCTGTGCGACTGAGCAGCCCTTACGAGGAGCCAGTCTGCTCACTCCACATGGGGAGGGGGCTAGAAAAGGTGCTCTAAACATAGCCTGCCTAAAAATCCAACCTGACTGGGCAACCGCACCCAGTAAGGTTATCCTTATGTGGTCGAAAACACAATCAAAATCACAAATCCAAACAGAAACAAACCGTACAACCTCTTATGGTCGCTGCACGGAATGTCAGGACCCTTCTGGATACTGGCACAAATGAGCGTCCTGAAAGAAGAACTGCCCTTGTGGCAAAAGAGCTGGCTTGGTATAACATCGACATTGCGGCCATTAGTGAGTCCCGGCTCCCAGATGAGGGCCAACCTACAGAACGGGGGTCTGGCGACACCTTCTTCTGGAAGGGTAAGCCTGCTGTGGAGAGAAACCACATTTATGGAGTTGGCTTTGCCATCGGCCAACGCATCCTACACAGGCTAAATGAAATGCCTATTGGGATCAACGAGCGCCTCATGACGCTTCGAGTCCTACTGAATCACTCACGTCATGCCCCAACACTGGATGCAGAGGATGACATCAAGGAGGCCTTTTACGCCGACCTCGACAGTGCTAACCTCTCTCCCCGAGAAGATAAGGTTGTGCTCCTTGGTGACTTCAAAGCAAGAGTTGGCAGAGATGCTGACATTTGGCAGGGAACCATAGGGAGAAATGGACTAGGCAAGTGTAATCCCAACGATTTACTCCTCCTCAGCAAGTGTGCAGCGCACAACCACACTATCACCAATACCTTGTTTCGGCAGGCCACAAGTTCAAGGGTTCGTGGCAACATCCACAATCCAAACACTGGCATCTCATTGAGTACATAATTGTCAGAAAAGGAGATCGCCGAGACGTCCTCATCACCCGTGCCATGCGTCGCTCAGACCACTGTGACACTGATCATCGACTTGTCAGACCCAAGCTCTCACTGCACGTCACCCAAAATGGCGAAGGCAGCAAGCCTCCAAAAGAGGTTTAAATACTAAGCGTTTGGAGGATCCAGCGGTACCTCAAGCTTTCAGAGAGCAGCTCGAACATGTTCTTATAAACAACCCAACAACAAACAACGCTAATCCTAGTGCCGAATGGGATATTCTCAACACTGTTATGACAAAAACCTGCAGAGACCCTCGGCCAGATCGAAAAAATACACCAGGACTGGTTTGATGAAAATGACCCGACAGTCAATGTAGTCACCGATGATAAACGTGCTGCTTTTACTGACTGGCAGAACATCCCTCAGTCTTGGACCAAAGCTGATATCTTCCGCAAGAAGAAAGCAGGGGCCCAGCGGGAACTTAGCAATCTAAAGAATGACTGGCTTTAAAATAAAGCTTGTGAAATACAAAAAATTGCAGATCAGCACAAAATGTGAATTTTTCAATTCCATTAAGCCATTTTACGGGCCAGTCACTCGTGGCGCAGCCCCCTTCCGCTCATCTGACGGAAACTTCATAATTACAGATGATGAAGGCCTCCTTCAGCGCTAGAAAGAGCACTACCATTCATTGCTCAATCAAAACACCGATGTGGATGCCCTGACTACCCAGCAGGTCCCTCAGCATCCAGAGCTGACCCACCTCAGCTATCCTCCATCCCTGGATGAGGTAGCTACCACCACAAAACAGATGAAAAATAACAAAGCCTCAGGGCCTGATGGAATCCCAGCCGAGGTGTATAAAGCAGGAGGACCTTTGCTTACCAGCCGTCTTCACTCAGGCAAGATTATCGCCTGAGTCCTCCTAAACAGACTTCTTTCTGAGGCGGAAAATTTCCTCCCAGAATCTCAATGTGGTTTTAGACCATCACGTGGCACCACTGACATGATCTTTGCTGCCCGCCAGATACAGGAAAAGTGCAGAGAATAGTGTCGTGGCCTGCACATGGCTTTCATCAACCTAACCAAGGCCTTCGACTCGGTAAACAGGGAAGCCCTCTGGTGGACCCTCAGTCGTTTTGGCTGTCCACCAAAATTCATTGCCATTGTGAGGCAACTCCATGATGGCATGAATGGCAGTGTCTTGCACAACGGCACCCAGTCTGAGTTCTTCCCCATCCAAACAGGAGTTAAACAAGGGTGTGTACTGGCACCAACTCTCTTTTCCATTTTATTGGCTGCCTTCCTTACTCGTGCCAGTGCCAATTTAACAGGTGGGGCGGACATCGAGTACCGGATGAAGGTGGTCTTTTCAACATAAGATGAATCCAGGCGGGAAGAACTAAGGTGTCGGCAGCTTCCATTACTGAACTTCAGTATGCAGACGACCTCACCCTTGTTGCTCACACTGAACACAACCTACAGGAGATCCAGAACACCTACGCAGATGTGTATGCACACTTCGGCCTTGAGGTGAATGTACGTAAGACTCAGATTCTCTTTCAGCCTGCCCCTGGTTCAGCCACACCTCCACCATCCTTCCAGCTTAACGGTACTACCCTCTCTAATGTTACCTACTTTCGATATCTCGGCTCCCACCTGTCCACCACAGCAGACATTGATGAAGAGATTCAGCATCGGATCAGATGTAGGGAGATGAAATTATCGACAAAGCTGCACGTATATCGAGCAGTGGTCCTCTCCACCATGCTATATGGCAGTGAGACATGGGTCACATACAGGAGGCACCTCAAGGCACTTGAAAACTTTCACCAACGTAGTCTACGTTCCATCCTCCGAGTTTGCTGGGAAGACAAGAGAACAGATGTCAGCATTCTTGCTGACACTAACTGTAGGAGCATCGAGGCTACCATTATTCATGAACTATGCTGGACTGGCCATGTTGCCTGCATGGACGACAGTAGACTGCCAAAGCAGCTACTTTACAGTCACCTAACGAATTGTAAACGCAATGCCATATCAAGATAGGTAAAAGAAACTAAACTTGCATTCCCTAGAAAGACGAAGAGTGCGGGGAGATATGATAGAAGTTTTTAAGTGGGTGAAAGGAATCAATAAAGGGGATATAGATAAAGTTCTTATAATATCCGAACAGGATAGGACTCGGAGCAACGGATTTAAGTTGGATAAGTTTAGGTTTAGGTGGGAGATAGGAAGGAACTGGTTCACAAATAGGGTGGTGGACGAGTGGAACAAGCTTAGCAACTTTGTAGTAGGTGCTGGAACGCTGGAAAGTTTTAAAAGGAGGCTAGATAGATTCATGGATGATAGAGTGATATTAACTCTCGACATGAGCTGCCATGCACAGGCCAACCGGCCTATTGCAGACTCCTTATTTTCTTATGTTCTTATGTAGTCTTAAGACAAACCTGGAAAGTGCCAAATCGACCCCCTCACCTGGGAGTCGATTACTCCACACCATAACGCTTGGAGGAGCACCACACGAGAAGGTGTCCATACTTTCGAGTTAGCCCGACTGCAAACCGAGGCAGACGAGCACCAACGCCGGAAAGACGCTGCCACCGCCCCTCCCGCGCTAGATGCAGCCCTCCACATGTGCAACGAATATGGACGACCCTACCGGTCCCGTATTGTCTTCTTTAGTCACCTAAAAACTAACCAACCTAGGTGACAAACTTAACTCATATCATTGTATCATAACTGGTTGACAGTCATACTCGATTCCGAGTGACAGCAAAGTAGTAGTAGTAGTAGTAGTAGTAGTAGTAGTAGTAGTAGTAGTAGTAGTAGTAGTAGTAGTAGTAGTAGTAGTAGTAGTAGTAGTAGTAGTAGTAGTGTGTGTGTGTGTGTGTGTGTGTGTGTGTGTGTGTGTGTGTGTGGTTTGCCTATAATTTCACAGATAACTGGACAGGCAGACGTAATATATAGCCGAGGATATGTTAAATGAAGCAATTTAGCCAATCAGGCGACGAATTGTATCAACCAATCACACGCCGGCTGACATTCGGTCTCCAGCGGAAAGTTAAAAATAATGCGTTAATTTTGTGTCTTTGCGTAACGTGTGTGAGTCACTAGAGAGAGAGAGAGAGAGAGAGAGAGAGAGAGAGAGAGAGTTGCCAGGAATTTGGGGTCAGCTGCTAGGGAACCCGTTATATATGGAACCCCCATTATACAGTCAGTCAGTCAGTCAGTCAGTCTCTCTCTCTCTTGACAGATGGGACAGTTAATGAGCCACACAAAACTGGCAATACAATTACATTAAGTAAAATTTTTGCCTGTTTGTCCGTCACACACTTGTGTTCCCTGACCGACTGTATACTGTAACTCTTAGGCTGATAACCCCTTAATGGTGGGTCTAAGGGGTGTGCCAAATAAGGGTGAGTCTGTTTATGGGGTTTTTAAAGCAATACTTGTACGTCTGACAACATTGTTTACATACCATGCGTGCGTTGCCAGCCCAGGGTGCAGGGTGTCGTACTGCCTGGAGAGAACTTACCTATAAAGAGAAACAATTTATTAGTATTAACTCAACCAATCTATCAAGATAGATAGATAGATAGATAGATAAGGCGTCATACGCACGTCTTTGAAACACCTCAACTTCGTTACGTAAAACGGGTTTTCCCCCGAGGCGTAGGCACAGAGAGAGAGAGAGAGAGAGAGACGTTTCAAGTTACATACATACATACTGAAAAGGGATAAATCAACCAATAGACACATACAGGAATAAGTAAGAGTGTTTTATCAATAAATAAATAATAATTGTACGTCTGGCAGGTGTCATGATGCCGGCAGCGAAGTGATTCATCTGTCCGGTAGGATAAGTTTGTGTTGTCAGGGAGAGAGAGAGGACTACAGCATGTACTAACAGTGTGTGTGTGTGTGTGTGTGTGTGTGTGATATACACCAAAATAGTTGGGCAGGAAGAGGGGAGGGGAGAACCTCCTCACCTCTTCCTTCACGACGAGACAAAGAAAATTTCTATCTTTAATTTCTAACTCTTTTCCTAGCTCTAATTCCTAGCTCTAATTCCTAGTGTTTCATTCCTGGCCTTAAATTTTAATTCACTTGTTAACTTCATTCTTGTTGTTCAAATACCTAACGTTGTCAGAGAGAGAGAGAGAGAGAGAGAGAGAGAGACCTATATATCAAGGTAAAGTTGATGTACCTCTATCTCTACTGGACGCCTGAGCTAGGTTAGGGTAAGGGAAGGTTAAGGTTTAAGGTAAGTTAGGTTAGGTTAGGTTAGGTTAAGGTTAGGTTAGCGTCTCTGTGAGCGTCTCTCAGTCTCTTCCCCTCATCTCTCGAGCACCGGGGGATCGATACTTGTTTGTCGAGATGGTGACAGATGGCGCTGGTGTGTGTGTGTGTGTGTGTGTGTGTGTGTGTGTGTGTGTGTGTGTGTGTGTGTGTGTGTGTGTACAATATAATACACAATAATATATTCCCCTCAGGGATCTCTCCACCTAAGACCAGACATACACACCCGCCCTAAATTCTTTCATAGAGTTTTTATCAATATTTTTCCCACACACTTAACTCCGTGTTAGTCCATCTTGCTTACTCAAACACCTGGCAAGTTTAAATAAACGAATAATATTAATAATAATAATAATAATAATAATAATAATAATAGACAAAAATCAGTATTTAATAACCGTACCAAGTTGCAGTGGCCAACCTACCACAACTACCAGCCTACCACAACTACCAGCCTACCACAACTATTTTGTATGGACGTGGAAATAAAGAGAATATACTGAACTGGCAACACTAGCTATCTCCTCATTGGTATTCATTTCAGCCAATCAGAATAAAGCGCTGGTTGCCTACTTAACTCTCTCTCTCCCTTCACTGAGATTGACTCAATACACAATAGAACTAACCAATAATCACCATGAACACAAAATTAGCGAATCAGAACCAAGTGCTAAGACAAAGAAACCAATGATTGGATGAATTCTACCTAAGCAGGAAGGCCCTCTCGTGTGATTGGGCACAGGATGCACCAATCAAAATTAAGTGAGAGGATGGTGGTGGATGGTGCCTGTTGTGGGCGGCGGTGAGTGGTGGTTGTTAGTGAAAGCGGTAGCTTGTATAATAGTGGTTTTAGTGGTGGTAGTAGTGATAGTAGCACTAGATGATGTTAGTGCTAGTGGTAGATGGTGGTGGTAGTAGTGGTGGTGGCAGATGATGGTAGTAGCAGTGGTGGTAGTAACGTGACACCACTTGAGTGGGGTTTCATCTCTCAGTATTGGGAAGACAGAGACACAGACAGAGACAGACAGGCAGACAGACAGAAAGACACACAGACAGAGACAGACAGGAAGGCACACACAGACAGAGAGACAGACAGGCAGACAGAGACACAGGCAGACAGAGGACACACACAGACAGAGAGAGACAGACAGGCAGACAGAGAGACAGACAGGCAGAGAAAAAAGACACACACAGACAGACAGGCAGACAGAGACACACAGGCAGACAGAGGACACACACAGACAGAGACAGACAGGCAGACAGAAAAAGACACACACAGACAGACAGGCAGACAGAGAAAGAGACAAACAGTGTGGTAGGAATATGGTAGTGTGGTATTATAGTAGGGATAAGGTAATGGTAGGAGTGTGTGTGTAATAGGAGTGTGGTAGGAGTATGGTAGTGTGGGGTGTGGGAGGGGTAGTTGATAGAGTGTGGTATGGTAGGAGGTGTGTGTGGTGGTAGGAGTGTGGTGATAGAGTGTGGTAGTATGTAGGAGTGTGTAGTGATAGAGTGTGGTAGGAGTATGTGTGTGTAGGGGAGTGTGTAGTATGGTAGGAGTGTGGTAGGGAGGTGGTAGAGTGTGGTATATGGTAGGAGGTGGTTGTGTGGTGGTGTGGTTGTGTGTGGTGGTAGTGTGGTTGTGGGTAGTGTGGTACGGTGTGGTGGGTAGTGTGGTACGGTGTGTGGTGGTAGTGTACGGTGTGTGGTGGTGGGTGTGGTACGGTGTGTGGTGGAGGTGGTGTAGGAGTGTGGTAGGGTATAGGGTGTGGTAGAAGTGTGGTTGTGTGGTGGTGGGGGTAGGAAGTGTGGGAGGAGTGTGTTGTCTGGAGGTGGTAGGGAGTGTGGTGGGAGGGTAGGGTGTGGTGTGTGATAGGGGTGTAGAGTGTGGTGGGGTAGGAGTGGTGTGGTAGGAATGATAGGGTGTGGTAGGGGAGTGTGGTGGTAGGAGTGATAGGGTGTGGTAGGGGTGGTGGGAGGATAGGTGTGAGGTGGTAGGGAGGATAGGTGGGGAGGGGGTGTGGTAGTGTGAGGTGGTGGTGTGGGAGGTGGTGGGAGTAGGGGTGGGGAGTGATGGGGGTAGGTGTGGGTGGTAGGAGGTGGTGGTAGTGGTGGGGAGGATAGGGGTGTGGTAGGAGTGTGGTGGTAGTGTGTGGTGGTGTAGAGGTGGTGGGAGTGGATAGGGTGTGGTAGGAGTGTGGTTGTCTGGTGGTGGTGTGGTAGGGGTGTGGGGAGGATAGGAGGGTAGGAGTGATGGGGTGTGGTAGAGTGTGGTGGTAGGGGAGGTGGGTGGGAGGATAGGGGTGGGTAGGGGTGTGGGGAGTGATATGGGTGTAGTGGGAGGTGGGGTGGGAGTGTAGGAGTGTGGTGGGAGAGGGTGTGGTGGGAGGATAGGGGTGTGGGGAGGATAGGTGTGGTAGGAGTGTGGTGGTAGTGTGGTAGGGAGGTGGTGGGAGTGATAGGGTGTGTAGGGGTGTGGTGGGAGTGATAGGGGTGTAGAGTGTGGTTGTCTGGTGGTAGTGTGGTAGGAGTGTGGTGGGAGTGTGGCAGGGAGCGTCCTCAGCTGGTGAACGCGGTAACCTTGGTTTTAACTGAAGGGTTTTTGTCGCCTAACTCCACAGTTGCTTACACTTGATGATCGTCACTATCGGCTACAATAGTTCTCATGGATAGTCTAGAGCTTTGTGAGTAGGATAGGATTGTGAGGAATAACTCATATTTCTCATAATCAAGCTTCAAAGGGTTTTATGATCATTTCTTTGTCTTTAAGTAATGTAGTCTTGTTTGTGAAGTGAATAGTCCATAATGAACCACTGCGATAGTTCTCAGAGAATTTTATCACAACAATCAAAGGCCTTGTGACTATGACAGTTACGAACAAGCATTAATAATATAGGTTCACACGCTCTTCGATTAGTATTTTCCCGACTGGAGACAAGATATATTCAGGCTTTTCAAGTCAACTAACAAATACTATCAGATGCCTTTCTCACGAGAGTCAGAGACTTTGTGAGAAATATGAGAGAGACAGTGTGTGTGTGTGTGTGAGCAAGTTGAACCACACCACAGCCACGGCCCAGCGAGCTCACTCATTGAGGAAGGGAGCCATTTCAAATGTTACCGCCTTACATGATAAAACCTCTCCTTATTTTAACTATTTCTGCATATCTCTAACCAATTTTACCGTGTTAAAGAAACACCATTGTTGACCTAAATATTTGTTTATAAAGTTAAGTATATTTACGAGGACGTTTGAGGGGGAAAAATAGACGTTACTGAATGATACACTAAGATATATGGAAAGCCACAAGGCCGATGTTACCTCTTCGGACGAAAAGCCCTTTTTAAATTCTAACTATTCTAATGTATATCTAACCTATTCTAACATGTTAAATCATCAACAATGTTAAGTTATACGGTAAAATATAATGTTAAATGGGTTTCTGTGGACGTATAAAGGCGGGGAAAAGTGTTTATTGAGCGATAATGTTGTGAGATGTAGCGAAAACAGAGACATTGGACCGCTTGGCTGGTCCCACTTATTATGCACCTCTTAACACCAACTACCACCACTGGCTACCACCATTGACTACCACTACTAGCATCACCACCAACTACCACCATCGACTACTATCACCAACTACCACTAATAACACCATCGATTACCACCACCAACTACAGGTACTACCACCACCGACTACCATCATCGATTACCACCTACTACTACCACAGCCAACTATAACCATCAACTTCTACCGTCGACTACCACCATTGACTACCACCATCGACTGGCCACTATCACCAGCTACTACCACACCCATTTCTACAACTATGTCTTTCTACTACCAACCATCAACCACCACCAACTAGCACTACTACCACTAACACCACCACCATTACCAAGACACATGGCAGAGCGTGTAGTCATGGGTGGGCGGACGTTGAAAGTTACAGCATGGAAAGAATGAGGCGTGGGAGGGCGTGGACGGGTGTCGCGTGGAAACAATGGTGTGGTAAGGCGTGGATTGGCGTCGCGTGGAAAGAATGAGGCGTGGGAAGGCGTGGATTGGTGTCGCGTTGAAGAATGTGGCGTGGAAAGTCGTGGATTGGTGTCGCGTGGAAAAAATGGCGTGGATTGGCCTCGCGTTGAAGAATGTGGCGTGGGAAGGCGTGGATTGGTATCGCGTGGAAAGAATGAGGCGTGGGAAGGCGTGGATTGGTGTCGCGTGGAAATAA